GGGGCCACAGCAGAGCCCCCATGAGCTAAATCACAGTCTGCAGTTCCCAGGTACCACCACCAAGGCCTTCCTGTAGGCTGGGTGGGGAGAGCTGCTCCATGGAACAAGTCCAGTGACCACAGAAGGAAATCCAGAACAAGCCTGGCAGTAAAGTGAGGGCTGCGTCAGTTCCTCTTCAGCCAGATCTGGAGGGAGAATCAACAGCATCACCAGATAGGAACCTAATGCCTCCACTATGTCCCTATGTCTCCACCTAGACACATGGGCTAGGAGCCATGAGGGAGGCCGTGTCTCCCAACAGCTCTCTTACCTGAGCTCCAAGGGCTGAGCCATGCGCTACTGTGTGCCCTCCTGGAGCACCAAGGGCCAGTCTCTCGGGAGGCCCTGGCTGGCCCCTGCACTCTAATCCTGCCATTCAGTTTGCCTGGGAACAAGGAAAATGAAAAATACTGCTGCAGGTAAGAAAAAATTTGATGAGAAGGGGAAACTCCATCATCATTCTCCAAGAGAAGCAGGTGCATCGTCAGGGTGAAAGGCCTCTTGAGAAGGGGGCCACGGCAAAACTTCAGGGCAACAGAAATGTTTGATTGTGTTTGTGAGTTTTCAAATTAATCTCTTAATTGTGCTTACACACTTTTTTCGTGTCGTAGGACTCACAAACAACATCATAATGACATTCACAGGAATCCAAAGTGAAGACATTTTTTGATTGTCCACAAACCTGATGACCTTCTCCAAGTCAAACTGTTATACAATGCTTTTTTTCTTACTTTCTATCAAAAAGTATCATTCAAACGCATGTCATCTCCTCCTCTTGAAAGCCCCTCCCCTCTTACCCCCCAGGGTGGCACACGTGCCCTGTCTTCCTTCGACCTGACTGCCCACTCTTCCTCAGCCTCTTTGGCTGGTGCCTCCTCATTATCCACCCTTGATTCCTTTTTCTTCCTCATCTGGGCTCAGTTCCTTTGTGACCTCACTGGGTCCTGTGGCTTTAGGAACCACCCACAAGCTGAGGGCTACCCAACTGCTACCTCCTGACCAAACACTTTTCCTGAGTCAAACTCACTTTCCCACCTCTTCTAGGATATCTAATTGGCATCTCAAATCCTGCATGTCCCAAGCATAACTCTTGAGTTCCTCCCCAAGTCACCCCATCATAGCGCGTGGCACCACTACATCAAAGAAGCCCAAACCCTTGGAATCATCCTTAATTCCTTTCTTCTCCCTGCCCTCCACATCCCCGCGTCAGCCGGCCCTGTCAGCTTTCCAGTCGAGTGCCTCCTGGCCCCGCTCAGTGCCTCCCCCACTGCCATCCTGTGCAGCCCGCGGCCCTCTCACTCCGGCCATCGCAGCAGCCTCCCGGTTGTTCTCCCTTCCTCCTCTCTTACCCCTGCAGGTTTAAAGACTTCAGTCAGATCATGTTACTCCTTTGCTCAGGACCCTCAGATCAACCCATCTTCCTTGGATTGAAAATTGCAGTCTTCATCACAAGCCGACTGGCGGACCCCACGCCAACTCTCCATCACTATTTTCTCCAGCCATGCTGACGTCATTACTGTTCCTCAGTGTGCAAGCCTGTTCTTGCCTCAGGAGCCAGTCTTTCCATCTGAAGTGATCTTTCCCCAGGCCTTTGAAAGACTGGGTCCTCACTTTGTTCGGAGAAAATGTCACCTCCTTCAGTGGCGTTGAGTGGCCTTCCCAGGTCATCCTGTTTCTGATCAGCCTAAGATACTCTCTACCCATTTACTGTGCTATGAGCCATATCCCTATGTCTACACCTAGACACGTGGGCTAGGACCCATAAGGGAGGCCATGTCTCCTGAGAGCTCTCTTACCTGAGTGACAAGGGCTGAGTCATGCACTACTCTCTGCTCTCCTGGAGCACCAGGGGCCAGTCTCCCGGGAGGCCCTGGCTGGCCCCTGTACTCTAATCCTGCCATTCAGTGCTTTTCTGTTTGCTTAGTTCTCTTCTGTCTTCTCAACTAGAAAAGAAGTTCCGTGAAGCCAGCGACTTCCATCCTCTCCAATATTATCTCCCCAGGGCCTGGAATAGTACCCTGCACATAGACTGTGCTTAGTAAATACTTGCGGAATTAATGAATTTGTTCTTTTGTCAAGTCTTTGGACATTACTCTTTATTAACCCAATGTTACAACATCACAATGTCACAAAGGGATTTTTTTTTTTTAAGGTAAAAGCAATTTCACCTTCATCTACCCCTTGCTACACAACTACTGTGGCTGTGGGTCCTTCCTGTGTTTAGCTCCCTTAGCAGATCGTATGTATCATCATAGCTGATCTGAAAGCCAGGCTTTGCTCAGAGATCATTTTGCATCTCACCTCTTCCTCTTGCTCAGGACCCCATCGCTCTTCATCCTCTGCTCCCACTTTGCCGGCCCACCTGCTCTCAGAGATGCCTCATGACCTCATGACCACCCAGTAAAGGGCAGCACTTGCCCGTGGTTGTTTAGGACACAGCCGAGGAAAAGGAAATTATCTTAGACCCTACTCATTCATCTTTCAGGTGTTTCTTGAGCCTCTGATCCCTCTTAGGAAGTGCGGTCATTTTGTGGCCATTGAGGACCCAAAAAAATGGTGTCATATCCAGCTCTCAAGGAATTCATAGACTGGCAGGAGAGGGAAACATACAGACAAAGAGGGAGTGACACAATGAGTGCCACACGGCCAGCAGAGAGGCCTCCCAGATTCCAGAGGGGAGAGGGACTGACTTCATGCCCGGGAGCAGTGCACGGAGGCATGGTGACGTGAGCGCGTGGTGTCTTAGGACATGAGTGAGTACTTTGTGTGGCTGGAGCTCAGGGTGCCTGGGAGAGAAGGTAAGGTAGGATTGTGAGTGGCATAAGAGCAGAAAAGGTAGGCAGGAGACAGAACATGTGGGGAATTCCACGCTGTGCCAAGGAATCTGGACTTTATTCCAAAGCTATCTTGAGAGTTTTGAACGTGTTTACTCATTCATTCAACCAATATATTTTGAGCTCCTAATATATATACATATATACATATATATATGTACATATATATGCAAATGCTGCACAGTGCTGGGCTCTGAGTGTACTGTATTTAATAAATAATTATTTTCCTTGCTGTTATAGAGCCAATAATACAGGGGGCCCAAAGGAAGGTTGTGTGGCAGCTCCAGTCCTGGAGAGCTATGTGAATAGGAAGTTTTATTATAGCAAAGAGTGAAAACAATCCGCTAACAATAGGTATATGTTTAAGCAAATCATGGTATATCCATATAATGGAATATTATATAGCAATTAAAATAATATTTATAAGTATAGAAGCATTTATGATGTTCCTTAATTGCATAGGAGAAATATTTATGATGCTCACTGGAAAAAGTGGGGTAAAAGTCTATACAGAGTGGTATATATTCATGAAAAAAAATTATAAAAAAGATCATAGGCTGGGCATAGTGGCTCAAGCGTATAATCCTAGCACTTTGGGAGGCCGAGGCAGGTGGATCACCTGAGGTCAGGAGTTCAAGACCAGCCCGGACAATTTGGTGAAACCCTATCTCTACTAAAAATACAAAATACTTAGCCAGGTGTGGCGGAGGGTGCCTGTAATCCCAGCTACTAGGGAGGCTGAGGCATAATCGCTTGAAACCAGGAAGCAGAGGTTACAGTGCGCTGGGATGGCGCCACTGCACTCTAGCCTGGGTGACAGAGTAAGATCTTGTCTCAAAATAAATAAATAAATAAAATATACAGAAATATTAATTATGGCTTCCTTTCAGTAGAGTGATTTTCCCACTACTTTAGACTTTTTCTGAATGAAAAAGCATTGCTTTTCTTCTTCTTTTTTTCTTTTTTTGAGACAGGGTCTCACTCTGTTGCCCGGGCTAGAGTACAGTGGCACAATCAGGGTTCACTGCAGCCTCTACCTCTGTGCTCAAGTGATCCTCCTGCTTCAACCTCCTGAGTAGCTGGACTACAGGCATGTGCCACCATGCTTGTATTTTTAGTAGCAGTGGGGATCTCTCTGTTGCCCTGGCTGGCTTGAACTCCTGAACTCAAGTGATCCTCCTGCCTTGGCCTCCCAAAATGGGGGATTACAGGTGTCAGCTACCCTGCCCAGTCATGGAAAGATATTTCTATTAAGCACATATTTACTTTTTCAGCCCAAGATTTATGGTAAAAGTTGAGGGTAAGAAAAAAACAGACAGCGGGGCTGGGCGCGGTGGCTTACGCCTGTAATCCCAGCACTTTGGCAGGACGAGGCAGGCGGATCATGAGGTCAAGAGATCGAGACCATCCTGGCCAACATGGTGAAACCCCGTCTCTACTAAAAAAACAAAAAAATTAGCTGGGTGTGGTGGCATGTGCCTATGGTCCCCGCTACTCGGGAGGCTGAGGCGGAAGAATCACTTGAACCCAGGAGGCAGAGGTTGCAGTGAGCTGAGATTGCGTCACTGCACTCCAGCCTGGAGATAGAGCAAGACTTTGTCTCAAAAAAAAAAAAAAAAAGAAAAGAAAAAAAGAAAAAAAAAGACAGCTATCTAGCTGACACACTTTAGGTGTCATCTCCCCTGGAGGGCTGGGCTAGTGGCATGACTTCTTGTCCTAGGGAGTCCTTTGGGATCCATGCTGGTCTCTTCTTGGTCCCTTGGTCCTTGGAGGGATATAGCAGCTGCCATCTGAAGGGAAGCCCAGGCGCAGAAGCATGCGGTGGAGCGAGCTCTCCACTTGGCATAGCCAGCTGTCCTCCCCACAGACTCTGATTTGCTGTGTGCCCTCAGATAAGTCAGCCTCCCCTCCAAGGTGACCCTTTACCTGACGATTACCTTCCTGGAGGAGACTTTCCAAAGACGTTTCCAGGAAACAGGTCGAGGAGGAGGATGCCAGCCACAGGGGAAGCAGGTGCTCTTTTGCGAAATATGGCCACGCCTCTCAACATCCTAGTTTTTTCCTAACCTTCAGCCTCTTCCAAACCTGCTACCAACTAATATATACATATATTTTTATCTCTTCTAGGAAATGATCGAAATGGCCTAGATTTCAACAGGCAGGTAAGAACTTGGGTCAGAAAGAAACGTTTATTCTATAAATTTTGGGCAACACCTATACTGTCTGGTATGGGGAAGACAAGATTAAGTACAATTTGGGGGTGTTTATTCATAAACTCCAAGCTTTCAGGATCAAAGGACCCTGAGCCCAATCTCCCACCCCAACCCATGAGCCAATGTTGGGGTCTCTTCAGTATCCTCTCAAAAAAGGGCTGACAAATGGAACACCTGTTTAGGGGTGAACTTTGTGCCCGATGTGGTCCAGAAATCTAAGACAACAGCTCTTTTCCTGCTTTGCCCGAATTGCCTCTTGGGTGAGTGGATGTGTGCATGAATTGACTGTGTGCAGAGGAATTTATGGAGCCAGGAAGGATGAGGTGCCTGGGTTGCCGCAGAGAATTCCTGACTTAAAGAAAGAAGCGGCCAGGCACGGTGGCTCACTCCTATAATCCCAGCACTTTGGGAGGCTGAGGCAGGTGAATCACAAGGTCAGGAGTTCAAGACCAGCCTGATCAACATGGTGAAACCCTGTCTCTACTAAAAATATAAAAATTAGCCAGGCATGGTGGCATACGCCTGTAATCCCAGCTACTCAGGAGGCTGAGGTGGGAGAATCACTTGAACCCAGGAGGCAGAGGTTGCAGTGAGCTGAGACCAAACCAGTGCGCTCCAGCCTGGGTGACAGAGTAAGACTCTGTCTCAAAAAAAATAAAAATAGAAAAGGGAACATAGTGGGAAACAGACAGAAAGAGCTCAAAAAAGAGCAGGTAACCAGGCGGGGGGCAACATAGACATGAACTTGGTGCCTTGCAAGGAAACCAAGTTGAATGAGGTTAGACTTACTTAGAGAGGGTTCTGGGTGGTGTTGGAAAGACTGCAGGACAGACGGGTGTGGATGTGTAAAGAGAAGGGGGAAGCTGAGAGGACTTGCCCCTTGAGGTTGGAGGCTGATGGGACGATGGCGGGGTGGGAGGTAGGGCAGGCTGTGAAGTCAGAAGCAGATGGCGGGAGTGGGAGGGTTTGCTGGGAGGAGAAAGGCTAAGCAGGAGCCAAGCAGGGAGCAGTCATGGAGGTCCTAGAGTGGGGCAGAGGGGTAAGAATTGAACACAGAGTAGAAAGCCTGGGTTTGGGTCCCATTTCTGCCACTAGCTAGCTGCATAACCTTCCTTGAGTTCGTTAATATTTTTGGTCTGAGTTTTCTCAACTGAAAAATTAATTTATTCCATAAATTTGGCAGTGGGGAATACTCGCACTATGCCAGGTATGGGAACACAAAATTAGGACATGGCCTCTGCCTTGAAGGAGCTCAAAGTCTAGTATGAGGACTGGGTAGAAAGTCTATAGAGAGGGAGAGGGAGAGCTTGACTCTTAAGTGAATAATTATAATACAATCTCATTTATGTTTTACCAGAGGTATGTAAAAAGCATAAAATCAAATAGAAATGGAAACAGTTCATTCTTCCCAGGAACTCAGAGCAGGCTTCATGGAGGAGGGGATATCTGAGTCTATCTCTAAAGGATGGGTAGGAATTTTTAGAGAACAGTGACATGGAAAGGGAGACAGCAAGAAGGAAGGAAAGGGGTTCCTCCCCTGGATTCTGATATCCTGAGTCCAGATCTAGACAGAAGTCTAGGATGGGGGCTGGAGATCAAAGGCAGACAGAAGTTCTTCCTCTCCTTTATCTATAGAATGATTTGAGGTCACTGTTTTGTTTTGTTTTTAAGACAGCGTATCACTCTGTGGCCCAGGGTAGAGTGCAGTGGTGCAATCACAACTCACTGCAGCCTTGACCTCTTGGGCTCAAGTGATCCTCCCACCCCAGCCTCCCAAGTAGCTGAGATTACAGGCATGCACCACCATGCCCGACTAATTTTCTGTATTGTTTATAGAGATGGGGTTTTACCACCTTGCCCAATCTGGTCTTAAACTCCTGGGCTCAAGCAATCTTCCCTCCTCAGCCTGCCAAAAGTGCTGGGATTATAGGTGTGAGCCACAGTGCCTGGCCTGAAGTCACTATTAACATTTCCTAAAAGGCTGTTAATTCTGGGTACATCCTTTACAGTCAGAGAGAAGGATAATGTTGAGTCCTAAGCCAACACCTTTTAGGCAGGCAAATTCTGCAGTGTCATTCATCAGGAAGGCTGGGAGTTTGCTAACAAATGAAAGCCAACCACCCTCCCTTTACACCTGAGATAGGCTTCAATTAAAAGGAGAGCTAAGTTAGCTACGGAGAGGAAGGATTTCCAGCCAATGCAGTTTATCAAACACTGGAACAACTACCAAGGGAGGGAGACTGTAGAGTCAGCGTCTCACTCAAAGCCTTTAAATGAGAGACAGCTTCTTATCTCAGAGATAGTTTGGCTAGGTTTGCTTCAAGGGCAGGAAAATGGAAGAGATTCCCAAGGATTGTGTGATCCTGATGGATTCTGTGATCCTGATCCTAAACAGGTTGGGATGTGGCCTGAGCCCTGTGCTTTCTGCCCTGAGGACTCACGATTCCCCAGCCCAGGGCCCACCTCTCCTGGCCCCAGGCCCCACCTCTCCTGGCTCCAGGCCTTTGGACGAGATGCATGGGGAGGAGCCTCTCCCACACCAGGACAAGGCAAGGCCAGCCTCGCTGGGAGGTGGCCCTGTGGGCTTGGCTGCCCTTGTGATTTGGCTGAAGCTTGAGACACACTTATGCTGGAGAAAAGGATGAGAGCACCCCCTCTGACCCTGGGCAGCATGCAGGGAGGCCCCTGACCCTTGGAACATCTTTGGGGTGTGGTTTCCCCTCTCCACTCTGTTGCTGCTGCCGGGAGTGGGCCTTGCTGGAGTTTGTTTCCCTTGGATGAGCCTTGTGTGGTGGGTTGTCCTTGTGGGAGGGGTTTGGATTCTCATCACTGACAAGAACAGACATGACAGAACTTTCCTTTAAAGAGGGTGGGGGGAATTTTGGAGGAAGAGATACTCTGCCCAGTCACGTTCATTTTTACACTCAGTCTGGAGCTCTCCTCTGCTCACACTCACACCAGCTGACCTGCAGGCCAGCGGGTGGGCACACAGGACTTCCCAGGCCCCTGCTGGAGGGTCACACCCTCATACCCCACAGCAAGGGAAGCAAACTAAAACCTGCTGACCTCCAGGCTCGGGGCAAGTGCTCCTAGCATCCTATCTCCTTTAATTCTCACTCTAGATCAGTGAGGTAGGCGATACAATCCTCATTTCACAAGTAAGGAAACTGCCTCCCAGGCAGCCCCACCTTTTTCAGAGACAGATTTGAGAGATTAAATAACCTGATGAAGGTCACACAATTGGCTGACTGGCTAAGCCAGGATTTGAACCCACATCTCTTTGAGTCCAGAGCCCATTTTTCCCAGGAGGCCTTGATGCTCCCTGTGTCTACACACCATTCCTGGGGAGAGGCCTGGGAGCCAGAGATTGAGTATGACCTCACCATGACTAACTGGGAGAAAATGGGAGGTAGAGGGAGTGGGGAGGGGAAGAAAGAATGGTTGTGTAGGAGCAGCCTCTGCATCTGACACAGACACGGGGTTACAGACACGGGGAGCAGAGGAAGAGCCACTGCCCTGGGTGAAGCGCCTGTTGCAAGGCCCCAGGCCAGTTGGTGCAGCCAGATTCTGGGTAAACTGCAGTCCTGAAGTTGCAGGAGCAAGGAACGTTGACTCACCGGGAAGTTTCCACACTAAGCTTGTTCACTTCCTGGTCCCAGGAAGGCAGCCTGAGTCTGTCTGGGGGATAAGTGTGGGTTGATCAAGGGCCCCAGATCAAGGTTAGTCCTCTATCTCCAGGACAGATGAGACAGACTTGAGAGGCAGCAGGCTAAGCCCCTGGATAGGGACTCGGGACTCAGAAGTTCTGGGTTCCAGTGCTGTCTGTCTCTCACTAGTTTCTGCCTTATACAAACTTCTTCTTCCTGGGGTTCTGTTTCCTGACGAATAAAGTGGAGAAGCTTGGCTGAGATGCTGTCTAAGGCCCTGCACAGTCCGTATGTTGTGGCGTCATTACTTGTCTCTTGCCGTATTTTGGCTGGTTAGTTGGACTCTGACTTCCACTCTACTTTCATTTTATTTTTTTATTTTTCCATTGGAGAGAAATGAGGAAGAACATCACCTTTCAGCTGTACAGGGTGAAGGGAAATATGTCACATGGAATTTTTCCAGCCTTTACGGTCATGTGTGAGCCAGCAAAAAGAATCATTCGAAATCTAGAGGCTGAAACAGAGGGACCCAGTAGGCTGGATCTGGGGCCATCCATTCAAGCTTTGAATATGCAGCCATTCTGAAGTGCTGGATAGAGGGATGTTCATTGTAACAAGATAAATTGCAACGATGCATAGCGAATTCTGTGAGAGACATGAGAATGCTAAGCTCCGGGATACTGCCTAAGGATATTACAGAGGAGATGGTGTCTGAAGTGGGCGTCAGGGGAAGACTAGAGCTTTGACTAGCAGAGAGGGCTGGCAAGAATATTCCAGGCCTAGGAGATAGTCAGTTGTCTCCCTTTGTGGGTTAGGCCAGGCTATGAAGATGTCGAATGCCTAGCAGAAAAGCCTGGGGATTGTTCTACGGGCAGGAGCCACTAGGTGTTCTCCAGCATGACTAGTTTCATTAACTGGAAGAGCATTGGAGGGGAGTGTGGGTGAGAAGGCAAGGGAGGATGAGTGATGAACTGATGCAAGAGAGGCCCAGTGGAATGCTGCTGTAGCCAGAAACGCGAAGGATGGAGACACAGCAAGAAAGTGACGCGCACAGGCCAGGCGCGGTGGCTCACATCTGTAATCCCAGCACTCAGGGAGGCCTAGGCGGGCAGATCACCTGAGGTCAGGAGTTTAAGACCAGCCTGGCCAATATGGTGAAACCCCGACTCTACTAAAAAATACAAAAATTAGCTGGGCGTGGTGGTGGAGGCCTGTAATTCCAGCTACTTGGGAGGTTGGGGCAGGGAGAATTGCTTGCACCCAGGAGGTGGAGGTTGCAGTGAGCCGAGATCATGCCACGCA